TCTCTCTCTCTCTCTCTCTCTATCTCTATCTTTCTCTCTATCTCTCTTTTTTTGACAATCGCGTAAACTCCTCGGACAGCTTAGCGCGGCGTTCGGTGCTCTCTACCGTTCACCCAAATCAATATGGCACTTGGTAATCTCTATCGCCGCGAAAACTTTTAATTATAATAATAATGGGCTAGCATAGACGCCAAGTCAGCCGGTAGCTGAAATTAGCGAAATTAGGCCGATGGAGCCGCTCGAGTGCTGTAAAGCAGCGCGAGGAGCGCGGGACGCCGAGATCGGGCGCTAAGTGGGTAGGAGCAACGAGGTCGGTGACTAAGACGAATAAGACGGACATTGATGCGAGACACATTATGGAAAGAGTCGTCAATTAGGGGATGGACGAGGAAGAGCCAGGAGCCCGATAAGAAAAGGAAAAGAAGCGAGAGAGCGAGAGAGCGAGAGAGCGGGTCGGTAGGGCGCGGCGAGGCTCGTCCGCTGCTCGGGGTCGGCCCTGTTGCACGAGCTAAATCAAGGCTTTTTCTCTTCTGTCTCGTTTGTCCAGATGGAATGCGATGGCGCTGCGCGTGCGAGATTGTCGGGAGAGGAGCGCGACCGAGCTGGCCGCGGAGAACGGCCACAGCGCTATCGCCGATGAGCTGAATCGCTTGGAGGCTCGCCGGCAAGATGAGAGGCTATTCTTGAGACCGGCCAGCCCGAGCCCTAGGAGGCCCTCCCAAGACAGCGGTCTCGATCTGGCTCTCTGTTAGTTCTCGTTCATTTTATCTCTCCTCTTATTTATGTTCTTGTTTTACTTTTTTAACCAGAGTCCGATCCAACCTTTACGTTTTTCTTTCCATCCGCTAGGTGATTTTTTGCTCCCGGTCACCATTACACCTTTCTGCCTTACGCCGGACCCTTCGCTAACTTACTTCGGCCATTTTTCAACCAATTTACATCAGTGTCCGAGCTTTCAACAATTTCTTCTCCCCCGGATTACAGTCGCCGCCTGTCACATATATTATAATGGCACGGTTTACCCTTCTTCGTGCTTCCTCTTTTTTCCAATGGATGCTAGTGGTGGGACGTGGGGCAGGGAGGGGGATGGGGAGAGACGAGGTGAAGGCGAACGGGCGGGACATAACGTCGGTGTTATGGTAGCAGAGCGTAAAGGCGATTACGGGTTATATTGATAAATTTAATATCACCATATAATTATCTTGATTTTAATTGTAAATGCCTCGTGCGCATCGAGAATCCGTAATGTTTTAATAACGTTGGAGAAAGTAGTTTCGTAAGACAGAAAGGTTGTACCGTCATACCTCCCTTTGGTAAACGAAATGTGAAACGCTAAATAATATTTTAACATAAGGCTTTGAATCGGCCATTTAAAATTGAAAACATGAACAATGGCCGATTCAAAGTATCACATATCATTATCTTACATAGCAAAACACTTTGTCATTGTAAGTATATTGATATTGAGTCAAATTGTTATTATTTGCACACTATCGCATAATTATCATCTGTGTACCTATGCCACTTTTTTTTATTTATACTAATAAGCATTTATATGTTTTTATTCTTTTCTTTATTATGTTTTTATTTTTAATTTTTAGTATCTTTTTGAGATTCTCTTCTGGTGTTTATGGATGTTTTAGCACTGATATGCAGGGACAATATTAGTTTATAGTATGTTAATGAATTTTGTAACGAAAATTTTTCTTTGTTCCTGCATATTATTTAATACAATTAAAAGTTCTAGTTTTAACATTATAAATGTGGATATACAAACATTGACGTACGGTAAATATTTTCTTTTGTGGTTCATTAAATCGTAACGATATAACCGTTGGATATAATCTAAGAGTAGAACATGATAAGTAAAATTTCGATTCAAGGACAGCAATTTTAACAATTTAACAAGAAAAAAGACAAGAGAAATATATGATGCTATTAAAAAGAAAAACATGTATGTATATACGTAGGTATATAAATATACATATAAATATATATATATATATATATATATATATATACATATATGTACACACGTGTATGTGCGTCTAACAATTGAAAGAAAAGATTCACATCCCCTAGTTTTGTGTATACCGCATATAGAAATAATTAGTAATTTATAGCTCGTCGTAGGCATATACGATCCTTAAGAAAGTAACAAAGCTTATCAGTGCAAATAAACAAAAAATTATTAGTAGTGACTTAGACAATGTATCGTATAGTCCTCGGCGTCATTCCGCGTACCTAAAATTCGTAGAGCTTCGTTCTGAACGAGCGGATTCTGTATTTTTTATTCTTTCTTTCTCTCTCTCTCTCTCTCTCTCTCTCTCTCTCTCTCTTTGTCTCTCTCCCTCGATGAATGTAAAACATCGCAAAGGTGGTTCGCCGCTCCTGGACAATATGGAGCTGTTGCAGGACGACGAGTCGTCATTAGGCCTGGGTCAGCAGGGCATGGAAAGCGCCCCGAGTCCCTCGGAATCCGTAGGTCCGTACCTAATCTCATTGCCCCGTCTTAACTGTCTGTCTATTTGTCTGTTTTGCCTGTGTGTCTGCAAATTTGTGCGATCTTAGCACCACTGTCTACCGCTCTCTATCTTTATCTGTCTACCTATACTTTAACGCTATTTCCGGTGATATCGAGTACTTCCCTTTAATAAATTTTGCCATTGTGCGAAATGTTAATTAATGGCTAGTTTAATCATTAAGTTTACTGCAGCTTTTACAGTTGTTTTTATGTTTTTCCTTTGTCTAAGAGCGCTTAGATTAAAGTATACTAAAGCAGCTATACATTAACGTCCTATTATTGTCTCACGTAGTATAGTTTGGTATTTGAATTGTTTTAAAACACACAGACGACATTGTTAAAAATAATAATGTTTATGGAATATTTTATTATGTTCGACGCATTTATTGATTAAATTTTTTCTTATCTTTTTCGTCTTCGTCTTTTTAATTTGATATTGTTTGTAATAATTGATATTACATATCGAGATTACTACACACGAATGTATGTATAATCCTTTCAATAGTAATTTATTATTTCAAAAAATTCTGAACGAAAATTGATAAAATAAATATCACAATGTATAAGAGCTACAACGATCTTAAGATATTATTTTCTATTCTACTCGAGTACAATTCGAGGATAAATAAACATTTTTTGTTCTCTTTTATAATCAATAATAAGAGCAATAATAATTAGATGCTTTTTGTGAAAATTAGTATACCCAAGTATGAAAATATCCAGATATCGAATTTTGCAAAGTAATGATAATTTTTTGTATCCTCACTCGTATTTTTTATTGCAAACATGCATTGTAATTGAAAAAAATACCGAGAAATCTCATTTCACATAAGCTCATTATACTTTGCAAAATCGTCCATCTTATACCCATCATATTCTGAAAGTCGTCCAAGTACTGTGAATGAATCAATACTTAATGCATTTAATCCTTACGCGTACGTAATTAATTAATGAAAAAAATTAACATGCCATTAGACGTACGCTTGATTGTACAATTTTCTCGAATGTGCTCGCTAATTCATCAACTGCTTAGCTAATCTTTCGAGTGCTTAATTCGATGAATTCACAGGCCTTTGACTTTCTCGGATTAACTCGGCAGGCAAAGTAATGTGCGAATGCATAACTATCGGTACACTGGTAGTCGTAGTAATATCTTAGTTCCTAATGGAAAGAGACAAACAGCAGTTAGCATCCACATTAACGGATAGGAGAGAAGAACAGACGCGATTGTCGCTCGGCCGGATACGAGGGGCCGCCAGGGCCGTTTGCTTGAGTGCGTCTGCGCGTATGCCTCTATGTGGGTCTTAGAACCGTGATTAATGCGCGTACCTAAGATTTACCACTACGAAAGCCCGTTGAGCAGCTTGAGCAGTTGTGTATTGGTTTGTTGTTGCTTGGCCTTGGTAAGCTCTATGTCTTGGACTTAGCATTGATTGATATATATATATATATATATATATATATATATTGGTACGCGACACCGAACGTCCCTCCATTACGATCGTAGTAGCAGCGGAATGATTGGCATTCATGGCGTTTCGCAAAACCCTATTCCTCTCCTATTGTCGTTATTTATATATATATATATATATATATATATATATATATGACCGATCATTGTAATCAAACTTATATATTTAATTTATTTTATTTTTTATCATTGAGAATCTTATATGTCTATGTATATGTGTATAGACGACCGAATGCATCAACGTATCTTTAAGTCGAGTTAATTATGGACCTTCTGCAGAGAGAGACAAAACATTGGTTTTACATGCCCCTTACCTCTCTTACTATTGCACTCCTCTACATTATCATTCTTTTTACACTCGATGTAACTTAATGTTGTGTCATTGTTATGAGTTTAGCTTGAATTTCATCCTTACATTATTAATGGTAGTTCAAAGTTTTAAGTTTTATATGTAAAAATAGAACTTCATTCTTTCCATTTTAGTTCTACTTTCCCATGCGAGTTCTATAGATGAAAAATGATGTTTTCCAGTTAAACGTAGTTTTAATTCCTCTAGGCGCACTTTGTATTTAGTATAACAAAATCACGTTATTCGTGTTATAATTATTTTTGATCCGACAAATATCGAAAATAAACGCTTTAATTATCAAATCTAATATCATATGTGACGCCGCGCGAATTTACCGATGTAATTTGAATGTACTAATATTTTGTGCAGTTTTAATCAACAATAATCATTACTAATATTTTCAGAATAATCCGACTTTGACAACGGAATGGTTTTACAATTTATTTTCTTAATAATTAAAATTGTTTTGTAATTTCACTTCAATTTAGCAACTGAGCAGCGCAATTGCATTAAAATTAATCAATATTTTTTATAGTAACAACAACAACAACAACAACAACAACAAGAACAACAACAACAACAACAACAACAACGCGAGAACTAAATATATAACGAAGTTACCTACTTTTAGATAATAATTTTTTATTATAATTTAAATGGGCGAATAATATGTACTAACAATAGTAAGTTGCTTGCTTTAAAATACTAGTTTAGATCTATACGAAAGATAATTTAAGGTACATTATTTTAAGTAACCTAAGAGGTATTGACCAAATAAATGAGTAAAAAAGCAGACTAGACATAGTATTTCAACGCTGTAACAATAGATAATGTAAACGTTTGATTTTTGAAATATTAAAAGTTTTTATTGAAGAAAAAGGTATAAAATGAGGCAGGATTGAAAACATTCATCGGTTTTGTTTGCCAGATCCTTTGACTATTTATCCTACTATATAAAGCCAATAGTCTTTTATATATTTACGTATAGTATGTAGATATATATATATATATAATACACGACTGTATTTCATATTCGTAGTATGTTTTCAAAGATCACAAAAATTCTGTTTGTAAACGTATGCCCTCATTAAATACCAATATGAATGCCATCTATTCGTAGTATAAAAAGTAATGTATTTGATCTATTTGTATATATATATATATATATATATACAATTGACAAATGACAAAATGAGAAAATCGAAGGATGCACCTCCTATCTCTGTTCCTCAAACAGATCACGTTAATGGGTCAGAGGCTTTAGAGGGAAAGGCGAGATTGTTGTAACCGAATTCGGCAAGGAAATCAGCTGAGCCAAAAAAAAAAAATAAAAAAAAATAAATAAAATTAGAATATAATGAAAAAAGAAAATGGACAAAAGATGCTATTAACGTGGCTTCGATGTCGATGTTGTGTTCGATGTGATATTTGTGTCTTTCTTTCCGTTCTCACTCACTCGCTCGCTCTCTATCTCATTCTCACAAACACACACTAGCGCACGCCCACATCTACGCACATC